AAAAACTCTGGATACTATCGATGTCTGCAAGGTAAGGTAGATAATGTCCCAAGGAGCTGTGTCCAGGCTTATACCCAGAATATCTGCACGGTTGGGTAATCAAGATGACAAGGCAGGTTAATTACCACGCCTCGGTGCGGATAAACGGTATTAAGCGCAGGGCACATGTCATGTCGTTGGAGAAGGGTTGGGTTGACCGTTCGTTCTCGAAATAGTAGCGCGGATCTCTTTGGCTCCAGAGTCGGGTCCGAAGGGTTCGCGCGCCGAGTAGAAAGAGGACTTGGTTCAGAGAGAAAACGTGCGCCATTGCAAGTACCTAGTTACTTTAAGTGAATAAACGTGGTGGTTGGTGTTGTTTGGCAGCACTTTAGTTTCTTCATTTGGATTTATCATCAACGTGCTTTTACCCAAGTTGCCTAGTCAGAGTCGAAGCAATGTGCTATTTTAGTCCGGTCAAAGTCTCGTTTGAGGCGCAAAACATGTCTATCTGAGTTGGGGATCGGCCTGGACAAACGTTTCATCCAGGACATGTTTCTCAGCCCTTTAGAATGTTGGTCCTATTACCCCAGGTTTTTGAATTCTGGTTTTGGGTAAGGTGTCGATTCTTCAGCCCAGCTTCTAAAAATGCAGTGGCAAACATTCAATCTAACCCTTGGAAACTGGAGAAACGCTTAGAGGGATGATCTGGGGGAAGACAGAAACCAGAAGGTTAAAGTTGCCTCGACGTTACTGTACTGCCTGTTCTCACTAACGGCTGGTATTCACTATGGTGGCCCTTAGTGTTCCCGCAGTATGAATCAACAACGTACCTTCGGATAGATGAGGCTCATATATCTGATGTCGAATTACAGGTGGCCATAGTCGCGAAGAGACAGAGTCATGGATTCGGACTGATTAAGGGACCACCCTTTTCTTCTTTCGGGTGGTGATAGCAGCCGTTGAATATCGCTATATCATTGTTGAGGAGATGCAACCGCGAAGAAGGAACGCCTTTCTGCTGGCCCGATATTCCCTGACTTCCCTGTTGCGTTCTGCTCCTCAAGAGGTGGAGGCCCTTACTCCGTAAAGTACCGGTACCAAGACAGGCAAGTTATAGTCCAAGACGCTAAGTCTGACGAGCGCAGTGCACGGACATGGCCACAATCCTAGCCAGTGAGATTTGTTTGCGCATGAGAGCGAGATGCATCTTTTGCCCATTGCTCGAAAGAGGAAGGCGCCACCCACCACCTTGTTGTGCTTGTATCCGTACACTTGCAAGTACAAAGTACCCTTGACACTTCTCAAAAAGACGATGGAGGGTCCTCGAGTGGAGTGGCTTGCAGGGTGCCATATTGCCCGGGATCCCTTAGCGCACGACATGGGATGACCGTGCTGGGGGGCTTCCAGTGGACCGCCAGGCGAAACAGGCGATGAAAAGACGAGATTGACCTCTCCGCCACGATCCAGTGTCGCCGTGACCATCCATGCGCTTCATTGGATCTCTTGAGCCGCTGCAATCTTACTATGCTTTTCTTTTGCAGTCACCAACTCGAGCTATTGAATCGTCCTTCATGGCAATATCAACTACGATACCGAGTATATGCCTTGACGATGTTGGTGCCCATGTCGTCTCCAGGCTAAAACTACCGAGTACGAAGTATTGTTCCATAGCAATGGTATGGTATAAACGCCCCGCGACGTTACCTTATGCATTCGCCAAAAGTAATGCCGCATCGCAACTTCGCAACCCTCGCGCCGCGTCTTGTCGCGTCAAACATTGACGATCACGACAACACCTCAAAGGCAGATATATTGACACGGCATCAAGTTGCAGCAGATCGCATTGCCAACGTGGACTTTATCCGTCAGAAAACAATGGCGTAATCAGTCCATTTTTGACACGGGCAACGGCATTATAGTCTAATGTCCTTTGCATGACGAGTCGGCCATGTTCGCTGGAATGCGTTATCAACGGCCCGTGGTCTTGCTGGGCTTGGCTTCTCCTGGCAGATGGCAACCGCCTTCAGACGACCCCGCGGAGACAACAGCCTGATAAGAAGCGCAGCCGATTGCCACTACTCCATACAGCACAAATTGACAAGTTGGACGGGGAACCCGTCAACAAAAACAACCACCTTCCATGGTGTAAACAAAAGAATACCATGGCAATTGGCGGTTGGACCGATTTTGGAGATCCTTGATGCTAGTTCGCATGAACAAAATGAGGTGGAAATGCGCACCAGCCGGACCCGAGGCCGGCAAGTTGGGGAAGCGAATTGGCTCCTGCTCTAGAGGTTGGAGGCGCAATGCTCACACTCGTCCGGTCATCCCAATGCGCTGGATCCGGATGGGGTCGCGATGATGTGATTGTCTCGTGTGCCAGGAATGCGACTGCTAGAGAGTCCCGATACTCTTGGTGCTTGTTGATCGTGATGAACTCCTTTGACGAATTCCAGAGGTGCAGACATACCGAGGAAGACTCGAATAAGACTCGCCGGTTCATGGTGGGGACATGGCCGACGATTTGATATTATTCGGGGGCAGAGACATACCATGCCTTTTCCTTTTCTTCGTGCTACCTCCACTACCCGTATTGACGAGGTGCTGCTCGTCGCTTGTCACACGTTTGGGGCCAAGCGCAAGCCCCAGCCGCAAGCCAGGATCACTTCGTCGGCGGACCCCTCCTTACACACCCCAGACGAGCTCCGAAATCTCGGCGACAAGCGGGCGAGAGGTCTGGAGTGTGCTTGTATAGAGTACGAAGCACCATTGGACAGTTTCTTTGCCTCGCGCCCGTCAGCCGTCAGTCTCACTTTGGCCGGTGACCGATAGACTGCAGCGAACAATCGTGTCTATTCGCAGGTGTTCCATTCCGGCTGATGGCGACGGGTGTCATCTGACCGCCGCTGCCGCACGCCCGCCCGTTGGTCGCCCGGTAACCGATGGCGAGACAAGCAACGGAGAAGATGGTGTCGGAGGCGCAAGACGATGGATGTTTTGACTGCTTTGATGTGTGCTGCCACGGAGAATTAAATGATGGGAAAAGAGAAGGAAGGGTGACTGGAAAAAACAAGGGTGTCTACTACGAAGCCACTACTCAGGCTTGTCAGGGCCGGGCAGAGGTGGGAGATGATGGAGCGACCGTGCGCCGGACAGCTCGACGGATTGGACGCCTAATGTACATAACTATCTGTCTGGAGCTGAGCAGTATCTGCGATACTAGATACGGGACCCACGTGCATGTCATCTTAGGTTCTCGTAGTCGTAAGTCATGGGAGAAAATCGCGTACGGATAGTACGCAGTACGGAAGAAGGCATGTAAGAAATAGGGGACGAGGAGAACGGGGCTCGTCGGGGGGGGGGGGGGGGGGGGGGGGGGGGGGGGCGGGGGGAGGGGGGCAGGGGGGGGGAAGGGGGAGGAGGGGGGGGAGGGGGAGGGGAAGAGGGGGGGGGGGGGGGGGGGGGGGGGGGGGGGGGGGGGGGGGGGGTCGGGCGGCGTGGAGACGGCGGCATTGGTGACCGAGTCGCAACAGAAGAGATGGCCGGTTCGAGTCGTAGTCGTGGTCGAGGAGGATATGATGAGGTTCCGGGGGTGTGGGTTGGTTGCATTGGGAGAAGCATCGGCAAGGTGCCAAAGGCACGGAGACCGGAGGAGCCCAGGACAAAGAGAAAGAGAGCGAGAGGTAAGAAAAAAAAAGAAAGAAAAAAAAAAGATCATGGGCCAGAATTCACACGAAATCAGTCTGTCAACTGAGGTGCAACTGCACCCTGTCGCCGTATGCTGCGCTTGCGATGCACGTCTTAAAACTGAAGGTGCAAGTCAAACAGACGTGCAGCGCAGCAGGCAGTCGCGGCGGCAGGGAAAGAATGTGATGAGCAGAGTTTAGAGACAACCAGAAACACACGGAGGCATCGACTTGCAGGCCGGGCTGCACGTCTCTGCAAGTCTGCTCTGCAAGATGCAAGCTGCAACGAGCGAGAGAGAATGGAGGAAGAGAGTCAGTATCGAGTATTTGAAAATGGTATTAGCTAAGCCAGGTTGCAATTATCATCTGTGGTGCGAGGCAGACGTGATTACTGCGTGAGGTAGGTAGGTGAGGTACCTTAGGCTGAGGATAGACAGGAGGCAGGTGCAGGCATCGTGAGTTCCTCTTGTTTCCTGCCTCACCTGCCACGCCAACGGTTGAGTGAGACGAGGAAGGAGGAGGGATCGAAAAAAAAAATGGCAGTTGCAGTTGCAGTCGAAATGGAAATGGCGCTCCAGCTTGTACCGGGTACTTTGGTCTGCTTTGAGTGAATGACCCGCCGCCACAAACCAGGGATGACCCCAGCTTCCAATCACTCCCACCCTGTCTCCTTCTCATCCAGTCTCTGCCTCTGGCGACTCTGGCGAGGTTTCTCTCTCATCGTCCACCACCATCCACAACCAACCGTCGTCTTCTTGTCCCAGCTCTCTCACTCCATGTTGCTCGCTGCTGCCGCTGGCGAACCCTCCTTGGCGCCTCTTGTGGCAGGGTGCGGGCTGCAGGGTCGACTAAGAGAGAAAATGAGCGGTGCTAAGTTGAACATGGGCGTTCTCGGGTGCTGAGGGGATAGTATGCTAAGGTAAGGAAAGCAGTCGTACTCCGTACTCTTGGACGATCAGGGTGTCCTTGGAGTCTGTGGGTTTTCTATCTCTTCCATGTTCAGATACTTGCAATGGCATGTTGCTGGATCATCAGTCTCCAGTTTCCAGTATCTGTATCCACCTTTGAAAAGTGGGAGACTGAGATGGGTCCTCGAGTCCCCTGTCGGTATTCGAACGAGCATGTCCTGGTCAAGGGTCACCCGTCAGGGAAGGCTGGCCGCTGGCTCTCTGTTCGCTGCATCTGGTGGATTGAGGGTGTGGGTGCGGGTGGGTTGATTCGACCGTGGGCTGTCTGAGTACGTACCGGCTCTATGGACATCCATGTACACTACCTTGTACCTAAATCTACCAGGTATCTAGGTAGGTATCCAAGGACCAGAGGGAAGGAAAGAGTCTCGTACCGCCTACCGCTCTAACCCGCGCACCACACCTCTCGGTTCTCTCTCTCTCTCTCCCACTCCCACTCCCACCGATACCTGTTACCTCCCCTCCTAGCACCGCTACCACCACCACCACCACCATCAGCGGCCTGGGTTGGCGACCATTTGTTATTATTAAACCCGGACCCCGTCCGACCACCCCCCTTCCATCTAAGAAAGACCCTTCTCGGTCTCCCTCACACTCCTTTCTCTGTGTCGTGCAGAGTTGTCGTGAGGAGTTTGGAAATAGCTTCCTCGACCTCGAATCACAATTCCGAATACCCTCAACCTCCTCCTTACCCTCCCGACCCGACTTCGACTCTCCTCTGTCTTCCTACGAGGAGCCCTCCGAAATCTACATCCCGAGAAAAGAGAGCCACTGTCCCCGGTGAGCTATCTCTATCTCGCTTCACGCCAGAAACACCAAGGAGAAAAAAACTGTGAGTGCCCTCTGTTTGGCCACCCTTCAGGAGAACAACAACACCAGGAAACCAGTACCATGGTTCTTGACCGCTGCCTTTTGCCTCTTGCCCAGCTTGTTGCCTGGTTTTTGTGACTCCTCACTACACTGCCTGCTTATCTTGCCGCCTCGTCAGAGGAGAGGAAACGAGAAGAGGAAATCTCTGCCTCGCACACTGCACTTTGCATCCTGCACCACCCACTTGCTTTGCTGTTGGCTGTCATATTCACTGTCTGCCTGTGTTTGCCTTTGCCTGTATCATCTGTCACTCACTACCGTCGGCCGCCCCGTGTTTTCGAGAGTTGGCAACACCACTTCACATTCCCCTCGTTGTCCTCGGCGTCTTGTACTTCCCCCCTCAAATTCCAGCGTTGTGAGACAAGACCGCTCCTGCAGCATCTGCAACCGGGATACATCGCTCGTGGTCCCTCTCACGAGCCTCCTCATCTTTTCCGACTGTGGTGCCTGCGCAGAGTGTCGCAACGGCGCTTCTTGTTCTCCTCGACTTCTCACTCCGATTTTCCCACTCTCACCTGCTTGAAAAGCACTCAGCCACGCATCAACAACATACTAACCCTCCTCGTACAGCCTGCGGTGTAACCGGTCACGACTGGCCTCCATCGTCCGACTTACCAGCAATATCTGGTTTTATAGACGAACGATACCTTCTACGACCATATTAGGCGCCGATACTCGCCGTTTCCCTCCTTTCCGACCCCCAAGATACCCATACCCTGTACTCCGTCTGCCCCTGATGCGTCCTTGATCATGGATTCGGAAGACGGGGAGTTGTTCATAAAGGTACGCTACTACGGAAGAGCCATATTCTCATGCCTTTGCCGATGGGCTTTGCTGCCTGGTCTGATGTGCTGCTTGTGCTAACATCGTCGTCTACAGCAACTGGCCAGCTTTGTGCGCACGCACGAAAAGGCTCTCGCCAACGCCTTGCAATTCCGAAGACAGGCTGCCTCTCGCCATGGCTCCTCTCAGAGCGTCAGCTCCATTCCCACGCCTCAATCACCGGTCGTTCCCGAGAGGCCCTCGACTTCGGCCTCGACTTCGAGCGGACTCGCATCCGCTCTTTCTCTCGGTTCTCTCAACTTCACCTCGCACACTGTCAAGTCGGCGAAGCTAGCCTTGACGCCGCACCATCTGTTTTACCTACTATCTCGATTCGAAGAACTCGCCATTCCCGTTGGCCCCATGAAGATTCGTCTCGAGAACCTACACGATAGCTCAACATCCGCCAACTATGTCTCCTTTTTGAGCAACACCCAAAGATCCCGAAGCCGCGGCTCCGATGTTGGTTCTATCCATTCCGTATCCAGCGTTCGAAGCGTCATGTCAGGCATGTCGGCACTTTGGACGAGTTTTGGCATCGGCGCGAGCATTTCGGCCGCCCGAACCGAGCGGCAGAAGGCGGCCACGCAGGCTGACTTAAAATACCTTTACTCGGCCTTCACCAAAATTCCTTGCCTTCGCCTTGCCCCCGACTGGCGCGCCCGGCTGATCCGCGGCTACGAAGAGTTCCCATTCGACTCAGCAGTACCGCTATACGTCTTCAAGAATGTCCAGGCCCTCGAGGTGAACAGCATCGACTTCCGACAATTCTTCGGATGGGACCGCATGGCCGAGCAGCTGAGATCGCTGACGCTGAAGCGCGCTGGTGTTGAGGACCCTGCGGATATCCTAATTGACATTGTGCTTGATGATATGGACAAGCGACGGAGAAGGACGTCGAAGCAACAATCATCGCCCACTACCCCTTGGCCCGCAAGTTCCAGCCCTCGCAGAAGTCCCACCATTCCTCACGCTGAACTTCACAAGTCACCCTCAATGCCGGGCTCACCAGACCCGCGCAATTCGATTGGTGACCTGGGCATTGGTTCTCTAAGCACGCAAGACCATGCTGTGGATGATGCTCACGGTGAAGGCAGACGGCCATCTCTGGCTCGGGCGGAAACGTTCGAGGCCATGTCGCCTCCAAAGGGATCAAGACCACGTAGCAATTCGCCTACTCGCCCAGTCAGCTCCCGCAACCCCTCCCACATGAGAGGAGGCCACAAGGTTCGTCGCTCCGGCTCTGGCAGCTCGCACTCGAGTCTTTCGGACTCGTGGCACCACAGCCGCGCCAACAGCTCCTCGAATCTTCTGAGCATGGGTGTTCTTCCAGCATCAAAGTGGCGGTTCTTGAAGCACCTCAGTCTGGCCGACAACTCCATGACCTCCATCCCTGCCACCAGCTTGGTTCCCCTCGCAAACACCCTTCACTCCCTGGACTTGTCATCCAATCTGTTCACTCAGATCCCCGACAGTCTGGCTACCCTTACCGCACTTCGCGCACTTAACCTCTCACACTGCATGATCGATGGGCTCCACTCCTTGACGCGCAATCCCCTCCCGGCCATCTCGGCTCTTAACCTCCGCGCCAACCGCCTGCAATCAATCGCCGGCATTGAGAAGCTCTATCCTCTCGAGCGATTGGACCTTCGCGACAACCGTCTATCAGACCCTATGGAGCTGGCCAGACTCACTGGAATCCCTGACATCCGGGAGATCTGGGTTGAGGGCAACCCCTTCACCCGCACCCACAAGGATTACCGCATCACAATTTTCAACCTCTTCCGCAAGACCCCGGGCTACACCGAGGACGTTGTCATTGACAACTGCGGTCCCACGTATTCGGAGAGGAGGTACTTGGTGGAGCGTACTCCGGTGCCCGCCGCCGTGCCGGTCGTAAAGCCCGCTCCCGCCGACATCCCGGCTGTTGACGTCAGCAAGCCAGCCATCATCTACGACATCCCCAAGGAGCCCTCAGTTCTCCGCAAGGAGCGCCCAGTCCCCAAAGCTGTTACCAGCGAGGTGAACACTAGCTCTACTCGCCGCCGCAAAACACCAAAGAGACGGATAGTAGACCTTTCTACCACGGATGCCTCTGTGACGGTGACTCCTGGTATCGTGCCGTCACCCCCTGCGAACATCAAGGTGCTCGCCTCCGATGCCACAGCCACCGCAGTCGGTCCAGACACCAACAACTACCGTATTTCACAGGCCCCTGAGATTCCTCCATTTCCCTCTGCCATTCTGGCCGACAATCGAAAGGCCGACTCCCAACCTGAAGTTCCCCGCATAGACACTAGCGTGGTTCCCGAACTTCCCCCCATCTACACAACCCGCGATGCTCCGCCAGACTCCCAGGACTGGGATGTCAGCGGGGAAATGTACCGCCGTAAGATCGAGGCATTGCGGGACAAGGTTGGGAATGGCTACCTCAGTGTGCTCAGTGAGGAGGGCTGGGATCCCTCTCGCCCGCCAACATACTTGGTGCCAGACTTCAGCCCAGCCTCGACAGTTCGGCCCAGTCCTACTACCCCTCGGACTAACTCCCATCACCACCCCGCGGCCATTCACAGTGGCCGCACCCTTGGCTAAAGGAAAAAAAAACTTGCCCTTTCTACATGATACCCTTCATGATACCCCCACCCCCCTCTTGAGGTTCGATTCTACTGTTGGGCTGCTTTCTTGAATTCTCCTTCTGCAGCATTGCACATGGCATTGCCACGAGCATGGCCGTTGGCTTCGCCTCCAACCATTGTGTTATTCGTCATTATTTTCCAGCATGGTAGAGCATAGCGTACAAGGCGTTTTGGTTTTGGCGGTCAACTGGTTTCAGTCTCCGCATTTATCTCTTGCACCGCCTGAGGTGGTAGAAGGCCACAGTAGATCTTGTCGCTTTCCCGTCTGTTTGGTTTCTTGGCGCGACCTCAACACAGAGGTCTCTCTCGGGCATCACTGGGATGGGAGGGATAAAAAGCGAGTGACATTGGGCGCGAAGGCATCTTCTTTCTTCTCTTCTCAAGACTTGTTTACCTTTCGTATTGCAGGCTTCAATTTGGCGTTGGCGGAACTACATGTCGAGTGGCTTTAGTCATTTCTGGTTTCATGGGCACGAAAAAAATCCCGCATGAGTTGCATTGTGTGTTTGGTTATGGTAGATGAATACTTGTCCATAAGACAAGCTGGTGGATGGCTTCTAATACATGATGAAACGCATACCTCATTGGCCATGCTTCCTTCGCTGTGCCTTGCAATGTGATGTATCTGTGGCACGTTCATTGTTATTGGTGGACAAACCTAGTCTGCTCGATCTGAAAGAGAGTGGCCTCTAATGACTGAAGCCCCATACTTAACTGTCGTATATGCTGTCTTGGGTAATGTTTTTATTGAAGACTGTGGCCAGCGTTCCCGTCAAGCCAACTGACTGTAGAGAAGTGGCCGCTCAAAAGTAAAAGGGCAGACTCAGATGATACAGAACTCAAGTGAAATCATTTACAGATATGGATCGCCATAGGAGGGGGCTTCTGCATGGATTGCCTTTCAGCCGCAACTCGAGAGGAAACGATTGTGTTTACAGGCAAGGAAATTGATGAGCCATTCTCGAGGAGAAGAGATATTTCAGAGTAGAGTGGATAGTGTTGCGCTCCTTACCTGGGTAAAGGCAAGGCATAATTCGCGTACATCTGAATTCTGACGTTGTGTTCGGTCTCTCACTTGAGAGCCGCTTGGGCGAGTGATTTGGTAGCTATTGTGGTCTTCTGACCTTGTCTCCGAGGTAGAGTCTATTTTCCGGATCCTGTCACTCCTTTTTTTCTTTTCTTGATACTTCAGGTGTCGTCAGCTTCGCGGAATGTTCTGTAGAAATACCTGAGAGATATGTTACGAGGTTTGCAGCAGTCAAGGTGTCTTCCAGCTCTTGTAGATGATGGGGGGGGGGGGGGGCAGACTGATGATCCTGCGCTGAAAGTTCGATTACCGTCTAGAACAAAGGCTGAATTTAAGCCTTCGTATTTGGGTTCATAGGATACTTGGCTTTTTCGATTTCATGCCATTCCAACGTCTTCGTGGAGGTGTGTTTCGAGAACCGGGCTATCAAGGGTAATATGGCGATTATGGGTGACTGCATTGATTCTTAGCGAACCACTTGTCAGGGTATTGAAGAACTTTATGGGTGCGATCCTTGGTTGGCAAATGGCCTGCCTAGCCTCGTGCCCTCTGGTAGTCTGACTTCCAGACCTTGAAGTCAAGGCAAGACCGATCGAACGCACGCTTTCTCCAGGGACCAACCTGTCTGGCCGATATTCGGGTGCGAGTACCGGAATAGAGGGGATCGATGAGCCAAAATGAGGCCCTGTCGTGAGACATATTTCTCTCGGACTAGAGCTGTCTCATCATCATCAGAGACAGCGTTCGCTTCTGTCGCAGCTCCGATGAAGTATGTTCCATTACAATCCACCAAGGCTGCGTTTAGCACTGCTGAAGCTCAAAGTCCCAACCCGCAGGACTTCGCATCCAGATAAGGCGTTCAAATGCCTTTCCTCGACGATAATCGCTGCCGGTAACAAAGAGCCTGGCCAAAACAAAACAAGACAATCTATGAATAGGTCGGACCATCTTCTATAAGCTCGTTGCAACCATCGGCTTTAGACGTCAATAACTTGGAGAGCGGAAATACTCTTCTCTACAGGAGGGCTGTTTTCTTCTCAACTCCATTTCAATCGTCACCTAGAGCGGCACTGCGTCTATTCACGTGAGATACAATGAGCTATAGAGAGTCAAATTCTTTGTTCCCATCTCATCTCGACATAAGTCCCAGGAGTCAGGTGTTGATCCATGTCTGCGGGACTTTCCTATCAAAGCGTTGCAAAGGGCGGCGGAAACCCACGACACAGTACCGCATCTAAAGCTTACCTAGGCTTCGCTATTGGGTATCTTCTGCGTTCTGTTCCGGTCGACTGTGGTAAGGATGGTGGGCATGGGAGCATTACGGCTGCGAGAGATGGGTGGCCTGTTCGAGGTGGCGGCTAGCACTGCTAGCCTACACTGAAGTTGTTTCGATCTAGGTAGCCGGGGCGGGTGCCATTCTTCCAAGACAGGATATCAACTTCATCAAGGCTTAGGACGTAGTGCTACAAGAGCTGTGGGCAACAGCTATGTCCCTGAAAACTTACCGAAGCCGGTGAGATCGGACCTCAAGTCAAACAGCCATGACTTGTGTCAGAGGAAGAAGCCCTTACTGCTTACTTCTCAGAGCGCAATTTCTCCAAGTGGGCTGTGGTTGGGATCGCCGCGGCTGAAGGATTGAGTCCTTAGATCTTTCGATAATGAATCTTCCTCGATTTGAGCTCAAAAAAATACCCACACGAAGGTGAAGGTGCGCCTGTCCGAGTATGCTAATGATACAGCAAGAAAGCCTTTCATCTCGGAGATAGCTTCGAACCAACGAGAGAGATCTAATTACAACCATTGGAATCCCTAGCAGCGTTTTGAACACACAAATACATGTCAGAGAGGTATTGCCGAGAAAGGACAGAAACGATAAGACACGAGAGAAGCAAGGCTTGGGTCCATTCGATGGCCGATTGAATGCCGATGAGCTACAGTCTGGACCCCGTATGATGAAGCTTTGTCGTTGAATTGTTCTCATGCATTCTCTCCTAACCTTGTCATAATGCGAGAGATCGTTCCACACGCACTGAGAGCCATAAATATGGCACAATCCCTGCCAGAGTCTTGTAAGGAAGATTAGAAGCTGCATCGTACCCAGGAGACTGTGTCCAGGGTGTCGTGGCGAAGAGTGAGATGCTGTAATCGGCCAGGGCCTGTGGGGATTCTGGTGATGAACCCGAAAAGGGACACAAGGTTGGAATGCTGCAGAGGATGTAAACCGACAGCCGGTGGCACAGATTTGTTAGTTACATCAATATGCTAGAGAAATATTTGCTGGGCAGCTATGGTGTGACTAGGACTGAGAGGGCAATTAACTACGTGAAGTTCAGTCTAGACAAGTCTTGTTGCTCATATGCCTTTATACTATATGCGAACATGTTGTCTTCAAGCGGAAAACTCGTCTCATTAAGACCTTAACAGTTTCAATGCATGTGCTGTAGCTCGGAAGGGCCTGCTCTTTTCATGACCGGTTCAGTTTCGAGTCACTTCTTAAAGCAGAAAGGCTTATTGGATCTCCTGGTGTCATCCAATGTAAGTTGTAGGTCAGATACTAAACTATAATCTGTTTGCGACCTAATGCCCCTTTGTGGTAATGCGGACAATCATGGGAACCATGCCGTACGCGGGTCACATTGACCACATTTTCTGTATTTCAGGCCTCATTCCCTCACGATGCAAAGAAGATGTCAAATGGAATATGACTGATGGGAACAGATGCGTTATCTTTTGCTATGCCGTGGCTAGCGATCGAAACATTCCTGCAGCCTTCATGAGTGGATGGTCTACCGTGGGAAGCATCTGGAGACTATCTTCCAACAGATGACAGTATATTGAATAGTAATTTGGATGTGCGATGAACTCGGAAGACCAAGGCTGGAAGGATTGGTGGGAGCTACGTTCGACCTGACTGAGGAGGACCGTTGTAGGAGAATGATCCACGTCAGGACTAGACTAGCAAAGCGAACGTCGTCGAGCACACTACGCGTTGTGCAAGCTCGAGACAATATAGACATAATTAAGCACGAGTTTTGCTCAGACCTGCCATAGAGAGGACCTGGAGAAAACAGGGCGGCCGGCTCGACATAAGAGAGCCGTATACTTGGTTTTAAGTAGCGATAGTCGCAATTTGGCCGAAATCGTCTCAGTACATCCCTTTTAGCAGGTATTCAACCATGGTCTTGTTAATGGGATCACCACATAACATATGGAATTTAAGGGCTACTACAGCGTTGCGAGTGGTAAGCAGCAAATGATAGGCTGAATCTTCTCATGCTGGAGTCTATGCCGATCTAAAAAAAATGAGGGCTCTGTAATCGAGTGGTAAGTTGAGAAAGAAAAGGCCAGGCGCGAATGGCAAAAGCTACTGCAGTCGACTGAATCTCTAGCTGTCATTGACGAAATACGAAATGTGTACGAGTACCTAGAGATTTAAAGATCAGAGTGGGCAGTGGAGATGCTCCCAGACGGTCGGGTCTGGATAAAGCCAAGTGTCACCGGAAACGGCAATTCAATGACGATGATGGAAGGTCTGTGAGTGCGCTATCCGACCAAGACCATTTGCGGTGAAGAACTCTTGTGCAGATCCAGCTATGTCCAGGATGCGAAAATCCGCAGCTCCTGCAGCGTCATGTGCTGCGCTGTGACGGGTAAGTATGTGTTGTGGCAACCTGCCCAGATCAAACATCGCTCGGCCTTCTGCCATCTTATAAAGATGAATGCTAACTGGATAAGGTTCAATTAGACAAGTTGAGATGAGGAGGCTGCTGCAGGGGAATCAGAATGAGTAAGGCATCTGGGTGTGTAGTAAGTATTTATGAGTACGGGGTTTGGATTTCAAGTACTGTACTGAATGGCGTGCGAATGAACGGTGTTGTGTTGCGATTCATGTTTGACTTTGAAGAGTGCACTATCCGATGATGCGACGATGCAGGTGTGGATTTCCGTAATGAGACCAGTAGCCACGAGTTCAAAAGGGCGCGGGGGAAATGAGAAAAGAATCAGTCCTCGGGGCCGATTGCGACTGCATCGGAGCGGGGGTTTGTACTGGATGAGCATCCATTTGTGTCAGTGCCGGGCCGGACTTGGCTCCGTCGCAGTTCCTTCCGACCCGGCTTTGGTTCCGGAAGGCAGGAAGGGCGGCGCCGGTCTGGTTGCAGAAGGAGCAAGGAGCATTCTGCAACAGGAAAAGACATTGGAAGGAGGCACCGAGAATGGCACACGTAGCTCTGCCCATACCTTGCCAACTGTTCCTCTTTTGGGTATCCGTGTCTACCTTAGTAACTTCCAGGTTGCAATCAACAACCTTCTTCGCTGCATCTCCCAACCAAGCAATCGAGATGCTCCGTTGTGGCAATTCCTACCCGTTACATCGTCCGTGTTATGCAATATCGTTCGCCACCATCACTCACCATCACCAACTTCGCTGTGTCAATACATGATGCGCCTTCGCGCCTTCTAGTTCAATCCAAACTTCATTTATGCATATCGACTGCCGCCTCCAGGACCTACCTCAGTCAATATCAGCGCCTCAGTAACCCCTGAGCCATAGCAATCGTAAAGTGTAACCGGAGCTAACGTTGGTATAGGCGAAAATTAGAACGACGCGGAGAATGTCATCCAGGTGCTTAGTCGATTCAGCCCCAGTGAACGATCCTCCGGGAAGCACGCACGGCACGTTAGTCGATGTGAGGGGGATGGTGCCTTACCACGCTGTCGGAACCATTCCAATCGAAGCACGTTGTCTCAATGGATTAGTCGCCTACACCGATGTGAGATGGAAATCTCCGGTCGTGTCGGCCCCAAGGTCCAGGGAAAAGGGAGAAGAATGATGGTTTCACATCTTGGACACGCTTCTGCAAGCCTCGCCCGTCTCGCGTGCTCACTGTAGCCTGGGGGCCACCCAGCAGATTCTAGCCAAGTCTAGCCCATCCCAAAGACGTTCGGCCGAGCCGTGGCCTCTCAAGGTCCAGCCACACCTCCGGCACTCGCCCTACGGCCAGCTCGTGTATCTTATGCATGGCAGACAGCCACCAGTCCAGGGTCGCAGTGAGGTGACAGGGCAGGCAGCAAACGCCGCCGCTAAATCTCAAAAGCATGTCTCGGGGCCTCTTGCTTTTCTCATCCAACGCTAGCGAGCGGTGGCGCCACTGGCTTTAGAGGCTTGCAAAACATTGATCCAGCTCCACGATGAATGCCATGCTTCTTCTCTGCATGAGCTCTGCAAGAAAGATCTGCGAGACGACTGCTTGGCTGCGAAGTGTCTGTGCCACGCACATGGGGGCCATCTATTCGTACGTCTGAACTCTGAACCTCATCAAACGAGCCTTGAATAGCGTTGCACACCAGCGCTTCATCACATCGTACATACGGAGACGAGTGGGGGACGGGATCGATTTCCTGTTATTCATCTTGATATGTGCCTCTTTCACTACTCATATCATCATCATTACCATCCTTTATCAAAGTCCTTCTTATATACGTAGAGGAATACACTCTGGATAAAAGACATTAACCTCGGAAATCTTGGGGTCAAGCTTGCGGTAGACTCGGCCGGCATGCTGCACCGAAGCGTTGCATAGGCCGGCGGCGCCGTTCTGGTTGTCTCTAGACGCATACCGCGCACTTGGGCGTATTGACCCCCATGCTGTCCCGTCAAAGCCGTTTTGGGCCTGGACCTGGTCTTGTCTGTTCTGCTGGAACGGGACATTAGGGTCTCGCCTTCTTCAGAAGATCAGGAACAAAGGTGAGTCAATCTTGGTTCGCCCACCCCCTTGAACACGACTTTGGGTCCCTCTCAAATTCTCCCAACCCGACTTGATCCAGATGATATGACGGGGGCCCGGATTTCCCATTGCTCCCGTCTTGAAGGAAACCCCCCCTTGCCCTACAATGCGGTCCTAGCTTTAAGCTGAACCCTGCGTGGCCCACTCCCCCCTCCTCCTCTCAGAGTTCCCCTGGTCTGCATCCTCGACCCTCTCTCTCAGAGTCCCCGCTTCGCATCGCATCTTGGTTGCGCGACTCGACTCGCCTCGAGCTTGTTGACCACCTTGACCTTGCCTTTGCCTCCAGCTACAGCTCGACTTTGACTGCACGACCCTGCTTCCCTGAAGGGCTCCAGTCCAAGTAGCTCGCTCACCCCAGTCCCCCGACTCCCCCGTCCCCTTCACCTGGCCTGACTTACGTTGGGCGTAACAAGCGCGCGTCCTTCGTACTTTTGCCCATTTTTTGATGAGTCTCTTGGACTGGTCGATTGTCCCATATCCGATCAAAGTCTCGCCCTTCCCTCCCTCGCCCGCCCAGTCCTCTCTCTACCCTTTCCTCATTCTCGTCCGGCCTTGCTCTACTTGTCTCTCATACGCCCACGTCCACGTCCGTCTTTCCACCCGTCGTTCCCCGCCATCGCCGATATCCGCCTGCCGTAACGGCGGTCCCCTCCATCTCTTTCCCATACCATCTCACTAGTCTTGTCCTGCCCAGCTTGGAGTCCAGTCCTCCCCAGCCCTATCCTTTCCTGCTCACCCGCAGCAAGCCAAACCGGCGCGGCATAACACAAGTTGAGATTTGCTGCTTCCCTCGTCACATCTCATTATCACGTACCTTGGGGTGTTGCTCTTTAAAGTAACAACCCCCCCATATCCGAAAGCTCAAGCTCCCCACTTGCGGTTATCCTCGCCTGCCCATCATCGTCCAGCGAGCTTGCTTGTCTGTCGTCGGAACATGTCAGAAAAGCTTGCTTGAAGAACCGACCCTTACTAGCTTCCCGCCCCCCGGGGGCAGAGCACGGAACCGTCTCTACGGCTGCGGCTTCCGCACCCTCATCTCCTACCCGCTGCCTTCGCCCGTCATTCCCGTCAACTTACCTTATTGCAGTGAGAGGGAAGCATGAGCATGCCTATGCTTACACTTATCCGCACCCGCTGTCTGCTGCTATCCGCCTCTCTACAGTTCACCTTTCGGGACAGCTTGTACACTTACAGTTACCTGTAGGCTGTAGTGTATACCCTCGAAACAGCTCCCGCCTAGTTCCGCCCTCCCCCGCCATCCCCGCTGCTGCGACATTTTTGGTCTTGGTGCGGCCGCTGCTGCTCCGATCTCCAACTCCACATCGTCTTCTCGTCGGATAACGGGCATCATCCAGGGTCCATGGACCGTCGGCTGATGCATCAACATCCTCGACAATGACCCGACCCAAGGTCCCAGATGACAAGCGCCAACGGACTGCACAGGCCTGTGACACGTGTAAGCGACGAAAGCAAAAGGTAAGCATCCTCTTTTCCCCATCCCCCACGTTCCTGGTGCACCCAACTCTTGTTTTCTGTTCGTGGTAGAGCCCGAATTCAAGCCTGGCCGACCAGCACTATCGTTACCCTTTGTTGTTGTTTCTTTCCACATGGTCCTACTCGCTTCCCAGTCCATCACATTTCACCCCAGCTGTCATATTATTAGTGCTCTTAGTACCGGCATACCTAGAGCTCCCTCCGTGGCGTTGCCAAAACGTCTTGACAACTCCCCACCATTTCCTCGCGCCGGTCTCGGCTAGTTGCCAGAAGAACCAAGTACAATCCCATTCCAATTGCCATGAATGGGGATTCAGACTGCCCATCACTGAAAAACCTGGCTTATGTATCGGGAACCATCTCTTGTTGGGGAATTCTCCGGCCCGATATGGCGACGTATCCTCTGACCGCGTTGATCGTGGCCTCACAATTCGACAAAAAATACACTTTAATCGTGCAAGCTCCCCTCTCTGCCTTGATTGTCAATGCTACATTGCCAACTAAGTCCGGTCCATCCAAGTGGGTGGTGGGCATCCATGCACATACACCATTCTCCATCTGTTTTCCGAGCTGTTTCTTGCAGCACATTTCGCACTCGTTGCTCAATTTGCTGGACCCTTAAACGGGGCATCTCTTCCAGCACCCGGGGTGCCCCTCGTCAGAGCATGTCTTTGTGGGCAACCCGACGATCTGGTCACAGACTTCCCAGGATCATTGGTTCATCCCATGAAGTGCCCCAGTACCGATCGACAACGGGTTACCGCCTTGCCGGTCTCGTGTACACCGCATCCCGGTCTATCTGAATGACCTCAAGCTCGGCAAGTGCTAGCTATTTGCAATTTTTCGAGACCTTGTCCGGTTCACCTCCCGCATCACGTTAGTCGCCAAGTCACTTTCCAGTCGCTGACCGATACTTGACAGTGCAACGGTGCTCGCCCTTGCGGCACTTGTACCAAGAGGAGTCTTCAGTGTACATACACGACTAGCAATGGCTCCGAGCAGACCGTCCCGGACCAATTAGCTTCTCCTTCCAAGCGTCGCAATATTGAAGAACTACCGACGGTGAAGCCAACAGCCCCAGATGGCTCACTCACATCTGAGAGCCCCGCGGCGGCCACGACCCCATGGGACTCGAGACCGAACCAACCAGTCAACGATGCGAAACCAGCCGCCGGATCTGATATAAAGCCATCTATCGAACAGGACCATGAAATGCTGGGAGTAGACCGCGAGTTCGACATTCGCTCCAGGCACAGCACCGCTTCAGGACCTGATGAAGAGACATCGCTCATGCAATCTACCAGAATGTTGCAGGATCCTACGGGCAGACTCCGTATGTATCCTATGCCAGGGCGTTGTATTTATCTTGTAACTAATCATACGATCAGTCTACGTTGGCGACTCGGCCTCGTTGGCTTACCTACAGCTCATACGAATGATTGTTGAGGCGAGCGTTGGGCCCAGCGACTTTACCCTGGACCCTAGCCGCCATAAGATCATGGAGGCGACCAGTGCTATCCCGGATAGCATTCGGCCTCCACATATCCTACCCGACAGGGATACAGCCAACGCTCTGCTGGACTCCTTCTTTACGAACGTATGCGATTCCTCCGAGTACTCGGTACGACGCTTATGAGGTTTGGTTGCTGACTTGCTATAGACTCACGGCCTGATCGAGGTCTTTAACAGAGCAGCATTTGAAGAGTCCGTGGAAGCCTGCTACACAGATCCATTGGCAGCGCAATCTTCTTTCCTCTGCCTATTGCATTTGACCCTTGCTATCGGCACCGTCTTGGGGACACCACTTCCCGGTAGCAAAGAAGACGTGATTTTCAAAAAGCTCCGAGCAAGTCGATATGACCGCGCCGAGCTATTCTTCAGGAGTGCCAAAGCTCTTGGCGACCCCATTTCCGGATTTGAAGATGCAGACTTTTGGTCTGTGCAGGCACTGTCATTGATGGCTGTCTATATGCTAGCGATATCCAAACGTAACGCAGCGTACGCCTACTTTGGTGAGGCCATAATCAGCTATTCCGTGCGGAACATCATAGCTAATGCTTTCATCTTTTAGGAATGGCGGTCCGTTCTGGCTTTGCTCTTGGCTTACACAGGGTCCACGAGAACCACTTTATTTTCAATGGCGAGGAGATTCGGCTCCGCCGTAACCTCTGGAGAAGTCTATTCGTTCTCGATCGGTTTCTCGCGGCATCACTAGGCCGACCGGTCGCCATTGACGAAGAAGAGTGCTCTGTAGATGCGCTTTTGGTGTTTGAGAAAAACTCCCAAGGGGAATTGATCCGTGTTACGAATCCCGATGACGGGCTCGACGCCGCCGTGCGATCTTGTCGGATCGTTGGGCAGATTCTCAAGAAGATCTACGCCCGCCGGCGAATTTCGGTCCGCCTTGCTCAAGAGATCTGGGAGCAGTGCAACACCTGGTACACTACTCTGAGCCCCGAATTGGCGGGCGGGCGGGTGGCCGCCGATCCCAGCAACCCCGCTCAGTGCATCGCGGCTCTGCATGTCAACCTCTTATACTGCCACTCTATTCTCTTACTGACTCGTCCATTTTTTCTCTGCCTTTTGAGTAAAGTTCACGGCGAGCGAAGCGGTCTTGCTCTCCCGGTCCCCCGCTGGATCAACCGCATGTCAAAGTATTGCGAGGCATGCTTACACGCTTCTAACCAGACAATCATCTACGTGCAAAAGGCGTTTGAGAGCAACTACCTTCCTCAACGAAACCCCTTTGTTCTGTATGTAAATACGGAATGGACTGCAAACTGCATTATGCTAACATCTCACCCAGCTACTTTCTCTTCGCTGCCTCACTCGTCATCCTGAGTAACGAATTTGCATCTATATACCCCAACCCGACTTACGCGGCCTCGATATCTAATACCATTGCTATTATGCGGTATTGTGCTACCAGCGACCCGCAGGCTAGTCGACTCCTCTTCATCCTCACATCTTTCCGCAACGTCGTCTACGAATTACAACAGAAGAAGACCGAGCAGCCAGCCATGCCCGCGCCCCCAATGCTTTCCCCGACATCCCTCAACGACCCCATAGGCACCATCTTCAAGTCTTCACGTAAGAATTCGCTGGCTGCCACAGTATCGGGCATGACAGGAAACAAAGCCAAGCCAATGGCGCCACCGCCGCTGTCAATGAAGACGGACCATAGCTTTCCTACGTCTACAGGCCCGTCAGCCGTCGCCTCGCCGGCCGGTAGTACCCCCAGCATGTCACAGGGTGACCAAAGTGCGCGGATGGGTGGTGACTCGGACACAGGTGATGGAGAGCTCGAGTTCGATCAGCTTTGGGGCTGGTCAGCTGTGCCCAACGCAATATCTAGAGGGCCTCATGCGTCGGGGGCAGCGGTGCCAGCTGGCGCTGGAGTGCCTCCCGTCGCGGTAGCCGCGGTTGCAGCTCCGACCGTGAACGCACCTATGTTCTCTGCGCAAGGCCCCGGCCAGCAGCAGTTTCAAGGCTTTGCGAACTACGTTGTGCCTGGCGGTCCTAACGGTGCTGGGGTGCCAGCGGCCGGGCCTCCGGGGTACACGGCCCCCAGTGTACCAATGTACGTTCCGGCAGAATACTCCTAGTATGGGTAGTTCTGGAAGCATTTTGGGGCACCTGGTCTGCAGTGGATATGACAGCCAGCAGCATATTTGTCGAGCCAAGCCTGAGGGCACAGAAAAGTGATTTTGGAGGCAGCAAAGATACCCAGAGGATGACGAGGAAGGCAATCATTTCTATTCAACAAAACCTAGATTAGGGGGAAACGAAGAGGTGTTTCAACGTCATGAGTTGACTTCTGATTCGTTTCGGAGGAGCCATTGTGACGAATACTGTATTTTACTGCTACGAGGGCCGGACTACCGGTCGCGATGATAGAAGTTGGAGACTCGGGGGAAAAGGGATGAATAATGCCAAGCAACAAAGTTAAGTGGGAAAACACTAAAGGAAAAGCTCTACGCCGGGCTAGAGAATACCAAAAAGCATCATGTTATTTGCTTTCATTTCGGCAACCGACGAGAAGTAAGGCTGCGTGTCTGACTAGATACTAGATTACCTTTGTAGCTACGGAGGATATTGCAATGCTCTTATTTGTCACTTCTGTCAATTTTATAAGGTTTTTTTTTTTTCTCTTTTTGCTCAACTGCGAAACAGGCTCGTAGTCGACTTGATGCTGCCCATGATCTCGCTGCAAAAGGGGGGGGGGGGGTTTATCTTCAAGGTATATTTTTCTGTAGTCGGCGGATTACTGGCTCCCAAGAAGCGGCTTGCTATAGTCGTTGTCGTTGTCGTTGTCATTGTTCTCCTCCTCCTCCTCCTCGCCATCAAGAGGTCAAGGACAGAGGAGAGATAGGGTGGGACCGGGTCGAAGAGGAGTAGGAGGAGGAAGAGGAGGCGGTCGTCGGCATTTTGAACTAGAGGTTCCATTAAGGTAATCTCGTCGACGAGAGGCTCGGGAGCGGAGAGTATCGAGGGAGGAGTTGGGTTTCGGTTCGGTTCGGTTCGATGTCGTTGAGGAAGTGAGGAAAAGCACCTGCTGCGAGTTGGTTCTCCTAGTTGAGTCAGAAAGTCTTCACTGGTGGCCACTCCGTTAGAACGAGAGCGTAATGTGTAAGGATGTGCGTCTTGGGTCTAGGATGAAGCTCGTCTAATGATTGAGATGCAGAGATCGGTCCCTTCGTCAGAGATTCACAGACCCAATATGCTCAGTTTCTGGTGGCAGACGTCAAGAGATCACTGTTCGACGGGCACAGAGCAGAAACAAGACGAACGATATGATAGGCTGGATGCGGCTACTCTCTTCTCGTTTTCGGGAACCATATCTAGTGGCTAGATTTACTATGGGAAACCCAGCTCAGTACCTTGGTCCTTAGCTGGTGGTGCTTTCGACCGACCGGCCGTCAAAACTCCGAGCCGGCCGGCCCGGACTCCCGCCCCCCCTTTCCGCACCAGCGGCTTGACGGCGCCCGAGTATCCTCCACCTGTGCTATCTGCGAATACTGTGGACTTGAGCCGCAATGTTGGGGGCCGGC